ATGAATAATAATAATAATAATAATAACAATAACAATAACAATAACAATAACAATAATAACAATAACAATAACAATAATAATAATAATATCACAAATCCCCGCTCAACAGCAAGCTCTGTGCGCTTTACAATCTCTATACTATTACTCCAGCAGACCTGATTGCATTCTCAAACAATCTCAACTTTCTGGGAAGCATATAGTGCAAGCTGCCAATTTTAGGCGCTAAAACAATAACATACTGACAAGATCTTTAGCTGTCTATAGCTGGGTAGGCCTACCCATTGGTACATGGGTGAAGTGAGGAAAACGCATGTAAAGTGCCTTTCCCAAAGAGGCAATGTCGGGCCCATGGCTCGAATTCCCCGAACCCGCAAGTCTAGTGGCCAATAACAAAATCGAACGTTTCACAAGTGTAGATTCTACGTTTTAGTTCTAGACATGGTTTTTAAAGAGCGAAAGTTTTAACTGGGACTCCGGACTTCAGAAAGTGAACGTTACATTAAGTTACAATGCAGGGTACGTTTACAGACGAGTATGTTATATAGCAGCGTCCAAAAGAAACTTTAGTTCTAGTAGAGATTTTACGGCGCTCGCAACTGCATAAAGTCATGTGAGCGCCAGAAGATTAGAGGTGTTACAAGAGAGTAACAAACATAAAAAAGAAGAAGGGGGGGGTAAGGATGATAGATGTACAATAGGAAAGAAGGAGCAAACCACACCAGAGCACCCGCCAAGAAACCCAAGAAACTTGAAAATCTAGCATCTGCGTTTGTTGCCATTTTTATGTCGAAAAGTTGCCAAAAGTTGCCACAAAAATGGCAAAAGTTGCCCCAAAAGTTGCCTTTAATTTTCAAGCTTCCAAGTCTCTGTGACGACGTATATAGCAATACGTTGATAGAGGTATCTTTATCTGAAACCCCAGAATTTCTTGCGCTAGCTGTTTTAAGCATCCAGAATTTCATTTGTAGCCACACAGAGTATAAAAACGTGAAAAATAAAGGTTTCCCAACAGAATGAAATCAAAATAAGACCAGCAAAATAAATAAACAACCACAAAAATTAACAAATAAGGGCGTGTGTCAATCTATCCATAGACTGGCCGTTTAATTAACCCTGAACGAGTGTAATTCAAGAAAAAGTACAGGTTATAGGCGGAATCACACACTTTGGGCCTGCCAGTGTCAGTATTCGGTTTTAGAGGAGACACGCTCTACCTTAACCCATTTTTTAAAAAAGGTAGGAACAACATTACACTATATATATAAAATAAACACAAAAAATATGAAAACCACACATCAGAACAATAACAAGTTTAAACAATTAATACACCAACAAATTAAAACACAACAAAGAAGAAAACATGAAAGAGAAACAGCAATATAAAGAGTATGTAATTAAAGTAATGTAGCCTACTTTTCTTCTCATGAAAATTATACAAATCAGCGTGGTGTTAACAAGAAGAGACGAAGAGAAGCGAAAAGAAAATAAACTTTCTGTCTAAAAGTAAAGAGGTTAGGCTTCTTTTTCTTCACGAATATTATTCCCCGTTTTTGTTGTTGTTTAAACATTATTTTTTCTTCCCCGGTGTGTGGTGTGGGTTTTTTTCCGGAAAAAATGCAAAAAATCGCGGCCGCGATTCCTGGACCAAAAAATGCCC